AATAGAACACCAAATGTTCAAAGCTTTAATGATTAGTAGAGAGAAAACTGAGTACATGTTGGCTCGCTAATGGAATCTACAAAGAGAAGGCACATTATCCAGATAGTAGAGATAAATGTTACATGTTTCCTAGTGCTAGTTGTAAATAATGTGAGTTTTCAAAGTGGAGCAATAAAATAGTAAAGAAAGATAAGAAAAGATAAGAGCTTCCTCCAAAGAAAAATATGTTGCAAGTTCACAACAAAATTCAAAATCTTCCCTAGTCTAAATACTACCATGGCTCCAACAAATCTTCCTATTTTTTCTAGAAGATAGAAAGCTTAACAAAAGGACCATTCAAATAAGCAGTCTGGTAATTACTCTGACAACTTTCAGAGGGCTTTTTATGTATTCTTAAACTTGTAACTGTATCTGGCTGTTGGTTTCTCTTAAAGAGTTCATATTTTAATATCAGAAATAAATGCAGGACATAGAAAAATCAATCATAATTCTATGTCCTCAACAATTAACATCTATTTTCAAATATTCCTATTTTCTTCAAGTTGTAATCATAATTGTGTATTGTTTCTACACGAAACTATTTTATATGCAAATATAAATTTAAAAGCCTATTTTTTAGGCCGGGTGGTGGCTCACACCTATAATCCTAGCACTCTGGGTGGCGGAAGTGGACAGATCACTTAAGATCAGGAGTTTGAAACCAGCCTGAGCAAGAGGAAGACCTGGCATCTCTATTAAAAATAGAAAGAAATTAATTGGCCAACTAAAAATATACAGAAAAAATTAGCCTGGCATGGTGGCACGTGCCTGTAGTCCCAGCTACTAGGGAGGCTGAGGCAGAAGGATTGCTTGAGCCCAGGAGTTTGAGGTTGCTGTGAGCTAAACTGACGCCATGGCACTCTAGCCCGGGCAACAGAGCAAGACTCTGTCTCAAAAAAAAAAAAAAAGCCTATTTTTTCCACTTACAATTACATCTTAAGTATTTTCTCCCATCAATACAGAGAAGCCTTCAAAAACAATCAGTTTTAGTACTTGAATAGTCATATTCTTCCATGATCAGACATGAAAATGATTTCCAATTGTGTTATGGTACAACAAATCTCTTCCTATGCTTATAGTTCTTTTTAAATATTAGTTTTCAAACTTCAGTACACATCAGAGATAAAGGGTTTGTTAAAACACAGGTGGATAGGTCTTACTCTCAGAGTTTTATTCAATAGGGCTTGGGGGAAGCCCAAGAATTTGCATTTTTAACAAGTTCCCCAGATAATACTGAAGCTGCACATCTGGGGACCACTTTAAAAATCACTGTTGGAGTATTCACACAGAATACAGCACCAAATTGGGGCTGATAAGCCAAACAGCATAGACAATTCTATTGAATCTAAAGACATATTTCTGAAGTTTCTTTCTACAAGCTCACTCAGATTTGTATTTCCAACTGACTTTTTGGTACTTTTGATACTTGAAGCCTGGGTAGATACCAACTGATCAAATGAACAAAAGAACAAGAGAAAATTCTTACTTCTCTTTTCCCTGAAATCAAGACATGGGTACTTAGATCCATCTATTTACATTTCAAAGATATTGTGGTTGAATGGGAATAATCCAAATCTCTGTTACTGCAGAAATCTGGCAAGGAGTTTTTATCATCATCATTCAAATTCAAATGTCACTGAAAAATAACTGAAATATTTATACCTTGGAGGACAGTAAATTAAATCTGTACAACATGAATATAAGTTAGCTGCATATTATAGTTCAAAAAATTGTTACTCATTGGAAGGTACAAGGTAAAAATCTGTCTTTGAGAAATTGGTTTTGACACACTAGAAATAAGAAAATTCCCATTTGGCAAGGAATTTTTAGGATATTTGACTAAAAACCACAGTAAAAAATCTCAAAGGATTTTCTTTGTACTAATGGATTCTTTTTATTTGGGTAGAGATTAATCCCCCAACTGCAAATGGAGATACATGCACATAAACAAGCATGCCTACATAAGCATATAGATGCAGCAACATCAGTAAACATTAGATAGCTAAGTATAGGAAGTATCTATACACACATTGGTTCTAGAAATCCAGAGGCAAGACATATACTTAGCAAAGACATTCTTCAGAAAAATGTTTTCCTGGCTCTTCCTCTGAAATCTGTGCACATTTTTATATTTGTCATTTTTATTTGTTGTTATTGTATTTGTGTGAATGTATAAAAAGAAGGTATGTTCATATATGTACATAATCATAAAACCATACCTGAGTCAAGTGGTTGAGAGTTGTCAACAAACCTTGAAAGGTGGTTAGCAATAAAATTGTTAATCTGGTTTACACTGACAAGAGTGAGTCAAGAGTAAATGTGTTAGATACAGGCTTATTAGGAAAATCTTGTATTTATGACTTTCTAAGGGATAATTGTTTCTGAGTCAGTGTTTTGGTAATCATGTTATCTTGAAGTAAGAGTGAAGTCAACAGTCTTAACAGCCTTAATTGACCCTGAATAACTCTTTCCGTGGGACAGGTTCATTATGACCATATGAATACACTGCTGCTCTCAAGGTGGATAGATAACTAAGGGACAAATGCTAAGACGCCATGTATGTTTCACTATGTGTACATTTAATGGAATAATATCCATAAACACAGCCAAGTAAATATGACCATATTAGGCACACTCAGCAAAGATGTGACAAATTTTAAAATATGCTCACGTTAAAAATACAAACTAAAGAAATGTAGAACTGTAATGAAGACTCTGGAATGGTCATCCACTTAGTGTGTGTAAGAATTTGACCACAGGCATTTACTACTTAACCCAGGTGTTCAAAGAAACCGCCATAGTTAAAACATTAGCAGCAACAACCATATGATCATTTGAAAACCAATTAAATACCTCTGAGATTTTGTAATAATTGCCAGTTCCTTTCAATGAGTGAGAGCAGAATGACAATCAATTAAACTTAGTCCCTTCCACAAATCCAAAGTACTAGCAAAAGTGTGTACACACCAATGAGACATTTTAGTTTGTCCATTAAGGAGGAAGCAGGAAAAAAATATGTGATGCAAGGCATATATGATCTGCCTCTAAAATTGTAATTCCTAAGCCTCTAGAGATAACCAGAGAGAAGGAGATGAGCCTTTTTAGAATCACTTTACTCCATCAGGGTGGAAATGGACTCATGGCAAGCCAAAGGATAAAAATTGCAATCAATCTATGTTCATATGTTCATGAATATTTTCTTTTTTTGACAAAGAATTTTGGTTTCCAAATTAGGGAGTGACAGTGTCTTCTTTAGAAAATTAAAATTTTTTTAAAAAGGGGCTAATTTTCAAGAGAAATATGTTATAAAAATGGTAAAATTGTATGTGGACAGTGCAAAAATCAAGAAAGTAAATTATTTAAAGTTCAATAAAATACTGTTCTAAAACACACATTGTAATAGCATGATGCCATTACTTGCTGGGCTAATCAGTGAATAATCACATCACAGTTAACTCTCTTATTGCAAGCTTACATAGGACATTAGAAATATGAAACCAAGTGTACACAATATCTTCTGATATATTAATTGATATTAAATTAAAATGCTATCACTGAAAACTTTTGTGAAATTTTTTTCAGTAAAGCAAATCTCAATTTCTTTTCTCAATTCCTGAAAAGAAAAAATGGAACATCAAAAAAATACCTATATACTAAATACTATAAAAACTTATGCTATTCATAAATATGGGTATTAATCCTTTCACAAATGATTAACTATGGAAGATTAGACACAAATATACGTAATATATATTTTCATCTGGAGATATTAGGTTACATTAGAGAGGAAATAATCTACATTATTAGTCATGTTTTTTATTAACACTTCCATTATAAAAAGGAGTAACTATTTAAACAAAGTCCTATGTTTTCATGCTAAACTCAAAGGCCTAATATTCTACAGGAGGCTGATTCTCAACTGAGAAAGGTCAACCTGATAAAATTTAAATACATCTTTTGAGATTCCAAGTCACTATTATGTATTGTAGTACAGGGAAAGCCGGCAGCATGGGTAAAACTAAATTATGTTATCCTTGCAATAAAGAACAAAAGAACAATAAGAAGCCACTCAGGCAACTGTCTTTACTAGTGAGGCCATTCATCCAGATTTGTTCTCAAACCCCTAATAATAACATATTGTTATATTCTTTTTGTTGCCATTCCAAAGCAGAATAGCAATTTCCTAGAAATTAGAAAAAAAATCAGTAAAAGTTGACCTAAAATTAGGTTAAAATGCAAAATAATCGACATCCAAACTTTTCTTCAAATACATGTTGCAGAGACTCAAAAGAAGAACTGTCATACAAATAAGTTTCAGTAAAAAGTAGAAATTAAGAAAACTTAATACCGACAACATTTCTACTGGACCATCACTGATTTGAGTATTGTAAGAATGTGCATTGATTGTACTAGATGAATACATTCAAATCATTCTGTTCTGTAAAGTAACAAGATATTTTTAATTTACTAAAGTGAGAATACTTTTTGTTCCTAAATCAGAAACTCTCTTTTAAGAAATGGCTAAAACATAAGGCAGAAAAATACTTTTAAGTATTACTGTAAGTTTCTAGGAATATATCAGTGCTATATTTTTCATTTTCTTATTTTTAAAAAGAATTCTTGGTCTCAGCAAGTCACAAACATTTTGAGAGATTAAATTATCTTAATTATAAGCAAAACAGATCACAAGAGCATCTTTATTGTTAGATCTCTATGATCACTTTGGTGTGTATGTAGTTATGTATATGTAAAATGAGATAGTTCTATTTATTTAGCCCTCAGTAGTATATTATATGGTAGGCAACCTTAAAAAATATTCATACCTTGCATTTTTAATCCAACTGTAAGCACCATAAAGAAATTTCTGCTTAGTTACCTGTCATATTTCTTCTGTAATCCCCAACTCAAATTCTGCACAGTCCCATAAAGAAGAAGATAAAAAGTGAAAAATAAAACTTTACCCTAATGAAGAGGATCTTTTCTCCCACTCGGTATCTTCCTTGGGAAAGCCGCTCCACACAGAACTTACTTGGGCATTTGCAAGGAGGATCTTCAGAAATTCGTTTCACCTGAAGTAGAAGAGCAGGCAAGTTCATTCTCCTTAATCAGGTTGTGTTTACATTAATTAGTTCCAAGGGCTCTGAGTCCCCTGGACCATTAATGATTTTATGTGTTGGCAAAATTAGAGATGTCTTTCACTGAAAAATGAAGAAGCTGTCTAACATTAAGTTAGTGATTAGGCTCATGACTTTGAGTTCTGAGTTTCTCCCATCATACCATACTTGGTCCATAGATACATCTACTCAAGTTTCAATATTTAATAGAATTCTGTCCCTAGAGATTTTGGAAAGGTTTTTCCTGAATGGGACAGTGATAACAAAACAAAAAGTCTGAAAATTGGGTAATGATAATGCCATTCCATTCCAATAATGCAGAACAACATTCTGAGGTGCTGATAGGGTTTAGGACCAACGAATGAGCCTGTATGTGCTGTTTCCAGTGTTTTTCTATGTGTATCTCTGCATCTCTTTCTATATTTGTTTATAAAATGTGTTTAAAACATAAATAGGTGTATATATAAATTGTTTACATCATTTTTAGAAGTGGTATAGTTTTCCTCATCACTACAAATAAGGGCTTCCATGAAAAAAGCAAGAGTGAAGAAAGGATGGGAGGGAGGGAGGTTTTGTACACCCTAAAGAAAATCAGACAGTGTCAAAATGCACATGGCCTGAGGCAGGAACTTTAAGGAGGATCATGCTTAGCAGGATTTTTCTGCCACGTAGTAATTGAGCAAACAGTAAATTGGTGTTTAAGTGGTTCTTCCACTACGAAACAGCAATCACAAGTCTGTATGGAAAGTATTTCCATCTTGCAGTGCTTAGACAAAACACAGAAACTGCTGGTATCAAATGAAGTAAAATACAGGAAACATTTTCTCAAGTGGCCTTCCATTCTCTAATGCTTTCCTAGCTTTTAAAATGAACTGGATTTTACAAATCAAGGGCTTTTTTTTTTTTTTTTTTGTAGTTGTGTGAGAGGTGGAAGCAGAAATGGAAGAGACAAGGCGAGGCTGTGGGCAGTGGAAATATATTGTTAAATAAACAGTGACTGATGACATCTGTGCTTCTTACATTACCTTGGGATAAGTCAGTCTGGCAGGTGTTCTGTTTTGGGCTAGGATCCCAGCCAGTTTTGTGCTGAAATGGGTTTTCAAGAGGAGCCTGATTACTCAGAATTATACTATCTCTCATCCCCAGACTGAGGAAGTTGATGGAGAAGAGGAAGAAAGTAAGAATGGCTTCTTAGAACTGTATTCAACTCTGTGTGTGGGAACTAGCTCACCATGAGAGATTGCAAAGAGGAGAACTGAACCTGACCCCACCATCTTATCACAGCTGAATCACTCTATCAGGACATCTGCAGAATAAATTAACTTGAATGGACTCCACTGTGCTTCTTTCATGATATCTTGATTAAAGAAGGTAGGATGTATTATTCACATAAAAGGTCACCTATTTTTCTTTTATTTTCCACTATTCCCTATCAAACAAAGAAATGTGAAGAAACATTGAAAATTTCAAAACTGGCAGTTACTGCTCAAACTTTTCACTGGAATATAATATCTTAACATAGGTCTGCTTCTCTTGCCTCCTTTTTCTTCTTTCTTTTTCCTTTTTCTTCACTTACGCCTCCTGTCTCTTCCTCCTTTTCTTTTCTTTTTTGTGGTTGCAGATAATAGCTTTGCCAGAGTACAAATAGCCAATACTATTAACTAAACACAGGAGCTTTGCAAGCAATCTCTGTTTTATATCCCTGTTCTAAAACACATATTGGGGTACATCAATTTCAACTCCCAACTGCTTCACATACAGTAAAGCAGTTTCCATAGGAACAATTTCCTTTTTATATTAGATACATGAAGTTCCGACCTAAACCATTAGTGAGGCTCCAATTACTTTTCTCTCTGCTCCACTGTTCCCAAAATAAAACACTTCAGTGAAAAACTATCACTCACACATAATGCAAATAGTTCAACAAATTTTTCGACAACGTAGAATGAAGGGAACTGTAAGAGAATTCTGTGGTTAAATATGTTTGGAAAATCTCAGGTTAAACAAGATTGTATAATGGAACTCAAGGGAGCCTTTGATATGCCAAAGTGTCTTGCCAAACTCTAGGTGGGGACTATACTAAGTTGTATTTCTCAAAGTAACCTAACCATGGAATTCTTTTCCCCATGGAACATCTGGAGGTATGTTTGATTAGACATTCCTTGAAAAGTGCTAGTTTAAAGACTTGTAGAACATGGTATTCTAGCTGGCAAAGGTACAGAAATATCCACTTTGTGTATCTCCTGCATCCAATTAAAACCCCTTAGCCAAATAGATGGTTATGTTCCCAAACTCTGGTAAACATTAAAGAGGGTTTAAAGCTCTTCCAAAAATCCCTTCCACTGTTTCCAGTTGAGAGAATAGAACTTGGAGTAGGGGAGAACTGCCATGGATTCACTGCCTTGCTGTTGTATAGAAAGTTCTAATCTTACTCTCTTTTTCTGAATTGGAGTATTGGGAAAACTTCTCCAAAACATCTTTCATCATTTCACTACCTCCTCACCCCATTCCCTTCTCAAGGATGAAAGATGGCCAGATACAAGACAAACTGCTGAAGAAAGAGAACCATTATAGCCACTTCTCCCAGCTTCTGAACATAAAATAAATAGCTTCAAGAGGAAGCATCTCCTTCCTCTGCAAAGTTACAGCAGAATTAAGAAGTTCATGCATGTCCAGAACACATGGCCAATCTGAATAAATAGAACAATGGAGAGATTTTTTAAACTTTAATTACCTACATTGATAATTTATCCAATTAACATAGTACTAGACAGATGTAGATTAATAAAATATGTTCCTTGTCTATGAGAACAAAGTCTGAACCTTGAGAGGAATGGATGTTATGCCCCAAAAGGTAAATGCCTCATTAAATATACACAAATACTTGAGACACCAAGGAGTAATTTGTCAATTTTACCTGGGATGAGAGATGCCAAGAAAATTTAATATAGGAGGTAACATAATCTGAATTTTAAAATATGAAAAGGCATTTAAAAGTAGGTTTAAAAGATGATTAGGCATAAGATGAGGAAAGCAACAATGACTACAGAAAATTCAAGGATTAATCCAGAGGGCAAAACAGCTGGGAAACACACACTGAGCCAGAACATGGAGGGCTTATGTGACATATCAATGAGTTTGGGCTTTACCCTGGATGTTTTAGGGAACTCTATATAATTTTAAGCAAATCTGAGTTGCATTGAGTTATATCATTCTGGTAGTAGTAATGTTTGTAGAGACGAATTTCAAGAATGGAGTGGTCAATAATGACTAATGCCCAGAAGAGGTCTCATAATTCAGGACTAAATTAATTCATTAAATTCAGTCATTCATTCAATAGGAAGTTAAGGGTGACATTGGCCAGATATTCCTCAGTAGTCTGGGACCCTCACTATAAATAAGGCATTAAAAATGAATGGGGGTGATTGCTGAGAGGAAAAGGATTAAGAGCACATGTAATAGCCCCAGAGAAACATATTTATAATAGATAGACCAAAGGAACTTCTTACCCTAAAATAAATCTAATCAAAAAACTATAATTCAGAGAGAGAAAAAATTGTTCTCATCAATGTATAAACCATGCACCATTATCTACTATTGATAGGTTATTCAATTTGCTTATAAAATAAAAAAATGAAATACTATAAAAATCAAAGTATGTGACCAATCCCTAAAAATAGTCTCATAATTTTAAAATCCTTTTAGGTGGCATTACATTAAAATGCACTGTCTATACTTTAGGTCTTGAGTGAATAGTTTACCTAAAAGAAACTAAATTAAACTGGCTAAGATATCTTTTTAAGGGCTAAGTTTACATTTGTTGCCCTTAACAGAAATGGGATTTTTTAATCTGACATATTTTTATATTTCTGCTCATCTAAATCTGCAATATATTTAATAGTTTATAGTGTCACATGGAGAAATGTAAAATATGGAGAAATCTTTCCTGTATTCTATAGTGTCAATCAGCCATTTTCCCAGCCCTTTTCAACTTAGACTCTAGAGAAAGAAACTCTTAGCTATGAACCATCAGTCCTTTTTTGTCCTACCTGTTATTACAGCTGGCATTGTGGGTGGTGCATTTCTATGGACTCTCCCAATATATGTGAGACCCATGTCAGTCTAGTATCCCTGGCTTCATTATTTTCTATAAAATTCATAAGCACTTGCAACTCCATAAATGAAAACTTTACATAAACATTCCACTCACACACGATTTCTCTCCTTTATTAACATTTTTACAATCGGGCTTAAAGTGTATGTACATGGTGGTATATGCATATACATAATCAACCAAACTACTTATCATAACCTATAACTACTTAACAGACAACTGAGGTAGCCTGAGAGTTTTCTTTTTTTGAGACAGAGTCTCACTCTGTTGCCCCAGCTAGAGTGCCGTGGCATCAGCCTAGCTCACAGCAACCTCACATCCCTGGGCTCAAGCAATCCTTCTGCCTCAGCCTCCTGAGTAGCTGAGACTACAGGTATGCGCCACCATGCCCGGCTAATATATATTTAGTTGTCCAATTAATTTCTTTCTAGTTTTAGTAGAGACGGGGGTCTCGCTCTTGCTCAGGCTGGTTTCAAACTCCTGACCTTGAGCGATCCTCCCCCCTCGGCCTCCCAGAGTGCTAGGATTACAGGCGTGAGCCACCTCGCCCGGCCTAGCCTGAGAGTTTTCATTTACCCTGTTGCTGTTATACCTAGAAACTGCTCACTGTGATTATGATTGTGTCATTAAAATATTTCCTAACTGCCAAAAATTGTGACTCAAGGACTCTGCTTAGTAGAGGGACCTCAAAGAGTTAGACAAAACTGTATTGAAATCTAAGCTCCTCTTCTCCCCTCAACAGGTTACTCAACTTCTAAGTTTCCGTTTCTTTTATAAGGAACCTGCCTTTCAGACATGAAAACCTGTGAAATACAATGATAGACCCTGGCTGGCAGCAGGTGGTCTGTAAAGGGCAATTATCTTCTTTATCAGATGTTTGCTTTCCCTTCTTTTTTTTTTTATTTCAATATATTATGGGGGTACAAATTTTAAGGTTGTGTATAATGCCCTTGTCCCCCCTCCACCCACAAGTCTGAGCTTCAAGCGTGACCATCCCCCAGACGATGCACATCTCACTCATTATGTATGTATATACCCGTCCCCCCCTCTCCCCTCCCACCTGCCCAATACCCAATAAATGTAATCCCTATGTGTCCACTTAGGTGCTGATCAGTTAATACCAATTTGCTGGTGAGAATATGTGATGCTTGTTTTTCCATTCTTGAGATACTTCACTTAGTAGTATGGGTTCCAGGAAGATACAAGATGTGCTATATCACTATTGTTTCTTAGAGCTGAATAGTACTCCATGGTATACATATACCACATTCTATTAATCCACTCATGTATTGATGGGCACTTTCCCTTCTTTAACAATTCTCAAGATCTTGGGTCTCAGATTACTTTTTTGTGAAAGGAGGACTCATGATCCAGTAACAATGAGGTTTAAGTGTTTTTGAGTACTATTTTCCAGAAGTTGATTTATTATCTGAAAATTTTAGAAGCTACTCAGCAGAATTAAGTGACACTTTCTTTTAAAGGACTGGCTTGGTTTAGAATCTCAAAATGAATTGTAGAACTACAAACTTTTTCACAGAGGGTTAAAATGTATTTCAAGGAAATTGAAATAGGTAATGTTGAGATTGATATGAGATTGTACAGAATGTGTTTTGTAGTTCAGAAAATACTAACTACTGGTGCAAAGTCTGAGCAATTTTACTTACTGCATCATCCAGTAAGTTTCCTGTACTCTTTTTTCCAGAAGACTTTGATGAAGGAGAAGGTGAAGGAGAAGGGGCAGAAAGTGTTTCTTCTTGTTCAATCTCTTTTTCCAATTTTATCAAACCAGGAGGCTCCACACCATACCTTTTAAGAGATACCACATCATTATATATGCATAACTTATAATGAGAAAATTATCATATATTAAATTTGATTATGAACCCTTTAGGAGTAAATTGCTGACTTTCAAAAATAAATCTGCATTTTATGGCACTGAAATGCTAACTTCTTAAATTTGTAGGCTTTTAAGTAGGAGAAAAACACATAGACCTGCTGTGCTTATATATGTGTACATACATGCACACATACCAACAATAGTACAAATAAATAAAATACTCAATGTAACACCTTAACGAGTCAATAACATGAATAACCACATAAAATTTGGTCTTCAGCCTTCCCATTTACCAGCTTTAATGATAATAGTGCTATAATTAAACTCCTCTTTTGAATACAAGATTGTTAAAGATAGAAGTAAAATCAGAGTCAAGTTTGAAATAGGCCCAGAATAATGTGCTATGGGTTATACAGTGTCATAAGTTATATTGTTCTTAGGAACAACACAATGAAAGCACATATATTGCTACTGGGAAAGAAAATGAACCGGGTGAAGAGAAATAATTTAGAATAGCAGTATATAAAAAACTGTGTTGTAAATTATAAATGCCATAGAAGTTCAAAGAGAGAGATGTAATTGCTATCAGCTATCTCTTATAATACTTTTCTTAAGCTAAATATAAAATTAGGTTTGGTTTCCTATATACATATCAACTGGAACTAGACAGGAAAGGCCAAACATAATTCTATAATTTGAGATTTATGAAGGATTTGGGGATGAATGAGTTACCACTTTCATTTATACAGATAAGAACACAGATGCAGAGAAGGTATATAATTAGCTAAGAGCAGGGTAAAGACTTCAGTGTAGGTTTTCTGATTTCAGTGCCAACACCATTTTCCCCTGACATTTAATCAGGTGATTATGTATTAGAAAGGAGAGGAAAGGCACTTGGAGTTTTAAAAAGAGGTTATGGATAATCTACAAAGTAAATAATCTACAAGCAGAGATTGTGTTGACAATATGTTTAGTACCTTTGATTGAATAGTCTATTAAAACACCATTAAATGTAAAACCTTAAGTTATTGTCCTGTTCTAATGGATTATTTCAATTGACATCATTCTACATATGTTCAGTACATACTTTGAGGAGTAGGCAATTTCCCTGCTCCTGATGTTTTATACTGGGGGCTCAAGTAGTTTAATTTTTGGTTTCTCTGCTTTGTTGCCCACTTCTCTCCAATGAGATAAAGGGATTTATCAAATTTGTAAATTTAAGAATAACCTGAGCATGCTTTACTCTTCTTCTAGGGAGGACACTGCTCATGGGGCGTCTTCTGTGAGGACCCCTACCCTGACTCATCTGTGCTCATGAGTGGGTAGTTAATTGACCTAATTCTGGAGTTCAGTTAAAGACACTAAACATGTCTGTCATCTTCAACCTTTATGGTTATAAAGATGATGTTTGATATTTCATATGCCACTCTTTTATTTTCTGTTGGTTTAGTAAAAAGGGGTGCTATGTGTCAGGTACCTTTTGTGGGCTGGAAAGCCGATAGTAGAATTCAGTACAAAACAGTTTAATCTGGCACAATTCAACTGAACAATCACTCCTCTGAGAACAGCTTCTTGTCTACAGAGTAATTTTTAGTTACATAGAAATCATTACCTAAAGTACCTAAATACCACATATTTCTAACCTTTTATATATACTAACCAGGTAATGGGACATTAATTGAAACATGCAGTAGACTAAACATTCTATAATGATAGAGACCACTGATTCTTAGAATTCCCAGCATCTGACATAGATCCTGGCACACAGTAGGTACCTAATAGCTACCATTTAAATGTAAAATGAATTCCTTTATTCTCATATAGCAATAATATCAGGTTCTAAATATGAATTCAGTTTCATGGATTTGGACCCCTAAGTGCATATATCACTTTGATAAAACATGTCAAGGTTAAATGTACAAAAATGCTTGACCAAAAAAAAAAAAATTTTCTTCTAGAAGACTTTAACCCTGTCCAAAACTAAAACACATTTTTAAAAAATGTTCTAGTAACCATTAATTATGCATCTCATTACCTTACCGCTGACAAATACCAACAATCCTTACGTGGAGATTTATTCATTCTTCTCTGAGGAAGAATTAAACCAACTATACCATTAACCTACTTTTAAAATTTAGCAAATCTCTTCACCATTACAAGTCTGTTTTCTATCAGGAAAGTAGACATGAAAACAGCCTTCTCTCGAGGTCTATTGTAGCAGTAAAGGGAGAGAGGGAGAATGAAGAACATAGAAAGTCAACTGCTAGTGAACATCTTCAATATGTCTAGCATCACTAGACATCCTGACATACATTATTTATGAGCCTTACTTTATTTCAATATATAATGGAAATTCTAAGTTCTATGCTTTAATATTGTTAGAAGGAATTAAAATAGTATACAATACGCATCCAGTACAGTGTCTTGGCACATGTCACCACCTCTAAGATTTTGCTGTTGATAAATTAATTGACATATTATGGGTTTCACAACCAGAAAACTGCAGCACTGAGGTTCTGCTGCCAAAGTTTTTGGTTTCTTTAATATATTGTACCACCAAAATGAGATCATGTTAGCCTCAAAAGTAAGGTGTTATTAAGATACAAAGTAGCAGTATTACTATTTTTATGTTATAAATTTATTTATTATAGGTATTCTATAAATTATTATAGATACCCTTTTTAAAAAATTGTTAGAATTGTGGAATATCAGAAATATCTCAGTACTGGAGTTTGACAGACCAAGTTATACATTCAGCTTTGCTACTAATTTGCCAGATGAATTTAGGCAGGCAATCTTTTTTAAACTCTCTAGATGTTTTTGAATTCTTAGTTCCCTCAAGTATAAAATTTGGTTACATTTAATGTTTTTAAGAGAATAACATAAACTTGGTAGTGAGGCTAGAGAAACTTAACTAGAATTCACAGCCAATTAAATGTCAATCATAAGTGAAAACATCATATTTGAAAGTATAGATTAGGTGAATTGGAAAATATGATTTCATTTATAATTGTAGAGGGATTTATGCCACCTTTCAGGAATAGGTTGCATATTATTTTATTTTTTTTACAAAATGAAATAATAAATGTGTTATTAGAGTAACAACAGGCTCAACTCCATGCCCAATACAAAGCAGACTAGGTTTGAATAAAATTGGTACCAAAGTTACACATGGAAAACCTTGTCCTGGAGATTTTTCTTTATCTGGGAATGCTGAAAATTAGCTGTGCCACTCAACACAGAAAATCAACACTAAGTCCCAAATCTCTGCTTATATTGGCTTTTGAATACTTCAACTGCCTAAGGTATAGTCAGCCAGTCCCAAAATGCACACTTAAATACTATTCATTGGCTTCCTGTCTGGCTGGAGATGTCAACAGGCCGTAAATCGTAAAATCCCCTTTGGGTTGGGGGCCAGCACCTGCAAGCCAACTCAGTCATCAAATATGTCTTTTTATTGTGTTTGCCAAAAGGCTGCTTCATTCTGGTTTCTGTGGTTAACTCTACACCACTTCGCATTTCTATTTTGTCTATGAGGTCTGTATAAATTTGGAAAGGAGTATATTTGTATAAATTTGGAAAGGAGTGTATTTGTATAAAGTTGGAAAGGAGTGAAAACGCTCCTTTCCAACTACAAGATTTTAGAGTTTTAGAAGTGGGTAGCTTTTCTAGCCACCAAAACTAGAAAAGAAAAGAAAAGAAAAGGAAAGGAAAGGAAAGGAAAGAAGAGAAGAGAAGAGAAGAGAAGAGAAGAGAAGAGAAGAGAAGAGAAGAGAAGAGAAGAGAAGAGAAGGTAGCTGTTCTCAAACTGAGTAAGGGTCAAACTAAAGAGACCAAATAGGTTGAGTCCACTAAAATCAAATACTTGCCTATACATCTCAATGATATGAAAGTAGGGTGAACATTCAAAGAGCAATATACTTATTTTTGTCTCAAAAAAAAAAATGAAGTGCTAGAAAAGTGGTCTTATGGCTAAATGACTTTATAAGGAGATTCTAAGAACAGATTTCTTATTTTTCCAGCAACTTGACATAACTTTCGAGATTGATCTAGATGAAATAACTGAGTCCTGAAACTGAGCTCTGAACTAGAAAGTTTACTCAAACTATTTAGTAGACTATAGCTTTCAAACAAAAGACATCTGGAGCCTATTTTACTAGAAGTAGAGGAAAACATTTTATAGCCAAATAAGAGAAACGCTTTCCTTTTAAGGCATGTTTATAGATTAATGCAAGATAAATTTTGTCCGATTTGTCTTCTGTTTTAAAGCAATTTAAAGATATAGATTTGAAAGGAAACTTCAACCATGCGAAAGTAAATGCTATTCTTAGCAGTTACTTCTAGTGCTTTGAATAGGATGAGTCAATTAATGATCTTTCTATAAGAATATTTTTTCCTTTTAGTAACATCTCCTTTTATAAGGCCATAGATTGAAATGGGAGATTAAAGAAAATGCTCACAAAGTATATTTTTTTGAATGGTCATTAATTTTGTTCCAAATCAAGGAAGTACTGAAAAATAAATAATCATAAAAAACTCCACTATCATGCTGAGTATTGATTATGGCTCCAAATCAAAATATCGAAAGCTTTTTTTACTATCATAAAGATAATCTTAATTCTAAAATCTATAAAAATGTTGAATTCAGAGTAACTTTTTTTAGCAATGAATATCAAAATACTGCCATTAAAAATATCTTTGAGGTTTAATTAACTTCCTTTGCTGAATGTTTGACTTTTCACAAGACAAGCACATATTTTACCTTCAGAAACTGACATATTTCTGAAATATTAGCACAGGGATTTCACTCTTCAGTGATGATAGCTCTATTTAGTTTAAAATAAAAGAAAGTTTTACCCATGAGAATCAAAATAAGCGGACTCATTCTTCCATCTCAGAACTCAGAAAAGCCCACAGTTCCCAAAGGAGTTTCACTAAGTAGCCCAAGACAAAAAAAAAAAAAACAAAAAAACACAGCAGAAAATCAAAAACTTTGTGGGAATCATCATTCTGGGAATGTTGTTGAATTGATGTTTTTAAAACGACATGTATGCAATTTGGAGCAGTAAATGTCTAGAATCAAATATAAGAAAGCATCATCTATCAGTGATGAAAACACCAAGCTAACAAGATTGTAGTAGGGACTTTATTAAGGTCAAAACTCATCTGTTCTGTGTGCAAATTAATCTTGTAATTACGGAGAGCTCTCCCATAATCACTTCTAGTTTTGGCTAAAGCTATTATAACTCACTACTTTGTGCAAGCCTCCATAGAGGAATGGGGAGAGAAGGAAACACAGATGTAAGCATTTGGATATAGGTTTAATTGTTAAAGCAAAATTTAGGAGTAAAATTGGATTGAGGAAATTAATTTTCCTTGTTTCTTTCAACTAATATGCTTCAACACAAAGGTAAGGAAATGAGATTTGGGTTTATTGGGTTTCTGTTTGTAAAGCACAAATGAACTTCCATCAAAATAAAAAATCTTCAAATGCATACAGAGAGAAACTTCAACAGACATTCATACTCAAATGTTCAATCTGTCCAATTGGTATTCAAGTGTTTAACGTCATGCTGCACACAACAAAAGCAACACCATGAGTTATCTATTATAATAGCATATTTTTTCACTGAAAGTATATAATACTTCACACCACCCAAGTAGGTGAGGAAGATAAAAGGGCAAGTTTATAAATTAAATATATTAAAGTGAGGGTTTATCTTGATCCTTATGTAACCCCTTTTGTAAAATCAGTAATTTAATTTTTTTATAATGTGAATAATCACTGCCTTTATCAGGTTGCATGATCATAAAGCATGGTCAGAAATGCAGCAGCCCCAAATCACAATTTTAAGATATTTGGGTGGGGGGAACTCTTCACATGATGTTGCACCTTGAAATTGGCAAGGCCATTATGATTCCCTTTCATTAACCAAGATTTTCAATTTGTTTTACATCCTATGATAGCAGGCAATTTATGTCAGACTCAGAGATGGAGGAAAGGTGATTCTTAAAGGCATTGTGTCATTGGTTTGCTCATCTTCTCCTTTGATGACCCGGCCATAGTTAAAATGTTCTCGGTAAAATGTTCATTTCTGCAGGATTCTTAATTAGATTGTTCATGTAATAAAAAGTATAATAAGAAAATATAAAATAAAAATCAGAAAACAGGCAAATACTATGAACTAAACAGGAGGAAAATGACAAATTCCAACTAATTCTAGAAATAGTGCAAGTTTCTCTGTTTTCCTCTATATCATAACTTTCAAAAGATATTTATCTGATACGTGTATTTAGGTTATTTAAGCAACAAAATGGAATCTGGAATTTTAGAAGATTCTAATGATATAGTTAAAACAACTAAACAAAAAGTTTTTTGCCTATTCTTTTGTTAAGAACACCCATGTTTCTTTTACTTGAGCTTTTCGGTGGCAGCAGCTCATTTATTGACATTTTACTTGGTGTGTTTTCCTATCCTCTGTATTTTTAACTTCTCTCTTAAGAGATAGCTCCTGAGTCCTTAGTATTCATTTGATTCAAGGCTGTTTGTCCTGCAGGCCAGAAGCTCCAAGACTGTGGGGGAGTGGGCTTGGCAGGGACACCTTTGTCCTGCTAGGACCTTTGTCCTACATAGAACCCAAGAATGTGGCAGCACTGAAGGGAATGGAGCCCTAAGAAACAGCCAGACACCATGAGCTTCAATTATGCCTAAGCTGTAGACACCTGAGAGGACCAAAGCCTAGAGGGTTCTCCCCCCAGAGGCCTTCACAAAATTATCTGGGAATGGATGGGAGAGTAGAAAAAAAAAATCTCCAAATGCCTCAAATTAATTTTTTCACTCTATGTTGAATAAAACCCAGTAATATTTAATTTGAGTTAAAAGATATTAAATCAACACTTCTCATACTCAAATACTGTGTAAAATAAAATTCATACCTGATACACAATTCATTAAGATTCTATTGACTATGATGATTTAAAGAATTTGAGGTTACATCATCTGATTAGTTTTCTATTGGATGGAAAAAAGGTCTGTTCATTGGCAGCATGTTTTCTAGTCATGTTCATTTGCTGATATGCTCACCTTGTATTTTCTTTTTTTGTTGTTTTGTTCATAAATTCTCTATTTCAGAATATACACCCAGTGCCACCTCTTACTCTATCTTACTTTTTCATCTGATCTCAACTGTAAAAACATATTACCAGTATGTGGATCAGAAAGCATCTTCTAATTAATTCCACAATTTTAATCTGTATCAAGACCTCTTCATTTCTCATTCTTTGGACTTCATAGAACTATCAAAAGCCCCATCCAATGGTTTTCAAAATAATAAATGGGAAACATAAAACCAAAGCAAGTTGGCTTTGCTAATAAAGGAAGTTCCTTCCTCTGCTTATTTAGCTATTATTTCTGCTCTTCTTATTTTTCCTTCCCCTAGAGAAAAACAGGTTCCAAATATCTATCTACACAAGGATAACATTCTATGTCTTTTTCTATTAGAAATATGAAAATAATTTTAAAACTATCTCCCCATTCAGAAGTAGACACTAAAAGAGCTGAAGATGAGGTGCTGAATGCAGGAAATGAGGAAAAGGAAAAAAGAGGAGGCCAAAAATTATTAAAACATAAACAGAAAGCAAGGAGGTGAGGAAGAGGAAAAGAGAGAATGTAGTAGGGATAGACTTTCCACCAAGGACAGAGTTAACTATCACATAAAACTTCATGTACAAGACTTTCTCATTCCCAAGAAAGGTTTGAAGGGAAATTGTATTTGATTAAAGGATATTAGCAAGTGCTTAGACATAGTGGCTTTGACAACAAGATCGTGATGTTAAGAATATTGGTGGCATGCTTTTTGTTTGATAAACTGCTCTTGAGATGTTCATATAATCATATTTGAATGAGAAGCTTTTTAATATCCAGTTTAGACATCAGCAATGAGAAGCCAGAAAGCTTATCTGTTTCTTGGATGCTGTGCTGGTCTGTGTCTTGACATAGCAACAGTAGTTTGACCTACCTGGCTGCAATCCGGCCAAGCTCTAGCAAGCAGAGACACACTTCTCTGGGTTGCTTGTGGAGGACTGAAAGACAAGATAAAGGTGAACACCTTTACAATAGAAGGGCTTGTAAAGCAGCTAAACAGCGAACAGGTTTGCCAATGACCTCCATCCCTCATGCTTTCGGTAAATGAGCTAGCCAGCCTTCATTCTGACATTCATACAACCCATCCTATTCCTCAATACACCTACCTCTACTAAAGGCTTTAAGTGGTTTCAAACCTCAACCCAACCTCCCTCCTAAGAGAGTTCTCAGGAACTCTCACCCTGAGTAAATCTCACCCTAAACATATTTTCTTCAATTAGTTAATATTTAGTATGTCAATACTGGAACACATATGTAGCTATAATTATGATACATATAAATAATTGATAAATATTTTAAAAACACACATCATACACAAGACTATGGAGCAAGGATTAGCCTTTTTGATATCCGGGATCTAACTTCATCAGGGACTTTAGCAGAAATAATACAATGACAAGGGTAAAAATTATACACCCAAGTTCTTTGTTATCTTTCAAACAAAGATGAATGTCAAGTGAGACTCTGAAATTTGATGTCCTCTCCCAATCAAATCTGATTAAATATTTCTAATCTAATATAATATGATTAATTAATGAACCTGCTTTACTGATAGATTCAGACACATTCAGTAATGCTGACAAATCATACTTGCTTTTGTTGAGCCTACCAGAGGAACATGTAGAAGAGCATACCACTCTCTTTTTCAACCAAGATTAGGGGATTTTTTAAATGTTAATAAATTCAGTACTGAATAAAGACAGGAGATATTGGGAAAAAATGTCCATTGAGAACAGTCTTTACATAGACACAATATTCTAATAAAAGAAAATGCTAGCTTATTGATTACTTATTGAAAAAATTTAAGAAAAGTAGCAATATTGCTTTAATTCTTAAACATAGAATTTTGTAATAATTTTCCAGTATTATTTTATTCAATTGAATATTCTAATTTCTTCCTTCACAGGTAATGATAGTGGCAATATTTGGTCCACTGACATAATAATGGAATTTGTTGGGAGTATGTGGCAAATAAAGAAAACAAAAACAAATAGTTTTACTGTATGTGATTTCATTTGGCTTTAAATAGACATACAAATTTATTATTATTTGGTTATAAAAATGTCCCTTTTAAAGCTCCTAGATAAATTCTAATTTCATCATTAAATTCTAATTTCCATAATTGGTTATGGAATTTCTTAATTATAGAATATTTCTGTTCTTGATAATGTAATTTTCAGATTCAGTTGACCTTTAGTGAATTGTCACAAAACCCTATTTAGGGAAGCTCAAATTACTTTTAACCAAAAGGCCTTAAAATAAAGATTTTTATTACTTCAAATGTCAAATGTACCACTAGCCCACTGGAGCTAGAATTATACCAACTTCATAAAGTTTGGTATATTAAATTGACTTCAGCGCAGGGTCACATAGGGACTGTAACATCACAGAGGCATAATTTCAAACACAGAACAATAACAAACATCACAAAACAGAAGTAAACAAGTAAAAATCAATCTTTTTGTTTAGATCATCAGTTTCTTCAGAGTCACACTTTTTAAAAACCATGTCTATGGTATAAAATAAATAGGAGTTTTGAGTGGGAGAAAAGACTACATAAAAAATGAGGAGAGGAACACTTTTAAATCCCTACTAATACCCTTATCTTAAGTAAAAGCTGTGTGAAGAAAGTGAAAAAGCCCCAAGAGCTTTGGATACAATTTCATGCATTTCGTGATGGAAACAGTGTCAAAATATGAAAATTATTAGTGAACTGACCAAATTGTGGCAATTTGCAGTGAACAACCAACTATAAAAATAGCCAACACAATTATAATGGCTCTTTAACCAAGAACCATTGGTTATTGGTTATTGTACATATTTTGAGGACTATATAAGGATTAGTATGTGAATAGATCTATTTTATGGAAAGTTGAGTTTGTTCTGAATAATGTAGATAATATAATAAAGATGATTTGATAAGAAGGTACACCACTATTATGTATATCTTTGTTTCATCTGTCAATTTAAACAGCTTTTGCATGCTAAAATTCAAATGTTGACTATACCACAGACTCGTCAAAAATCAGTGTGGCAAACTGGAAAGTAATTGCATGATTCTTCATCTATCTTCTTAGAATCAGGCCATAGAATTTAAGACAAATAAACTTCTTCCTCAGTATCATTTTTTAGGAAAATGCTAACAGAAAAATAAGGTTTTACTTGCAAGTTTTCTTGGAAATGTTGCCTTTTTATAAAGCAATAAAATTGCTTTAAAACACACTTATAATATTGGCTCACATGTTAATAGCTTTTCAAATATCAGGACAGATCATGCCTGGCCCCTAAATGACAAAAAAAAAAAAAAAATCAAAATGTTTGATGATCAGTAAGCAATGAATAAATCTGTAGAGGTGCATAACTTAGCACAATACCTAGAACAAAATGATTCTTCAGTAACTGTTACACCTCATAGTATGGAGGATGATGACAATTATGAGGTGGTGATAGTGGTTGGGAACAATGAACAAACTGAATAATAACTAAAAATTTACCTAGCATCTTCAGAAAAGGCAGGACTTTAAATTATTATTTAATTGCAATAGCAAGCACTCTTACTCTATTGCTGTAAAATTAAATTACAATTTTTAAGTAGTATCTATTTTATACCAAAATGATGACTTTGATTTTTGCACTAAAGCAAGTTCTATACTAAAGTTAATAGATGGAAATAGTGATTCAAGCCACAAAGATCTGGGTGTAAATGTTAGTTCTAATATTTATTAGTTGTGTCATTTGGGGAGATTATTCTGTAAAATCTCAGTTTTCTAAAGGAAAACAATAGTGCCTACCACACAATATTTTTGTGAGAATTAAACAAAATCATGTTTACTGTTATGCTTAGCACAGTTTTTTGCAAATATGAAACATACCTGCCCAATGTTAGTTTTATTTATTTTTTAATTTCTTTAAAGATTATCTTCATTTAGTCAACTAACATTAATTTGCTTTTTTCTCCCCAAGCATTTTTCGTGCATCTATAATGTGTCAGTTACTACATTAAGTGATAAAAGAAACTTGGAATGAAAAAAAAAATACTATTGGGAAATATAATTTAGAGTGGTCCTATTATAATGAGTGTATTTTAAATATTTCATCAATTATATCATATCAGAGATAATTAATTCTAAAATGACACTTGATCTTAGCCAAAAGACTGAGAAGTGATTAGTTAATTCCAAATTAATCAAATTTCAGTTTATATAGGTCACTTTGACCAGCAGATATAGAAAGATATAAAGCAGATATCCTTTAGCTATTATAACTTTGTGATAAGTATAACATTTAAGTAACAATTACATTAAGACATATGTCATTTTTTGAAACAGCAAACATCTTGCCATTTACCCTCCATCTCTGAGAACAATTTAGTTGAGTCCATTTTTAATCATTATCTATGTTAATTATTAAGTATTGTATATTTTAGAAGATCAAATAACTGATTGCATATCTTTTGTCAGGATCATTAGAAGGTCAGTTTTATTATATTGTGTTTGACCTGAAGCCCTTGCATTGAGTCACATGTACTACTTATTTTAAACATATTTATTTATTTATATTTTCAAAAGAATCTTCTACTTATACTGAAATCTATAGTGGAAAACATTTTTACCACTGTATCACTGTACCATTAATATGGCTTTTGCTTTGAGTTAAGGGTAGAAAAAGAGATTGCTATTGTTTTCTTTCCTCTGAACATTTCTCTTTAAAACAAATAAAAAGCTCTCCAGTCAATGATGATTAGTATGTGAAAGGTTTTATCATTGGAGGCTTCTTTTTAAATAATCAAAACCATTTCAAAGAAAAGCATAATGCAGAACACCTCTGGGAAAAGTAACACAGATTTCCATTCAAAAATATGTGGCAAGAGACTCAATCTCATAACCTAGATTCTATAAAAATCTCATGGGCATCAAATGTCAAATGGAATGCTGCTAGCTACAGGAATAGAAAATCAGTCCTTCCACTAAAGCAAGGGGTAGAATTTCAATGTCATAGAATCTGCAAGGATAAAATGCATTAGACCATGAATGTATAGTTTAACTAAGTATATTAAGTTTTAACAGATGGACAGAGAAATAAAAGCATGAAAAATTGTGTTGGTTATTTTGTTTCTACACAGCTAGAGACTACAATATTCATGGTAATTTTGAAGAAAACTATTTTTTAGCTTTTTAATTATGAAAGGAATTTGAAAAAAATATATTTTTGGCTAAATGTTGTTTAATTATAAAAATATCAGGAATTAATAACTGCCTGCCTTCTCAGAGTAGGGAATAGGTTCTAAACAAGGAGAGTGATATAGTAGAGGACACAGTAAACTAGAACTCAGAAGAATTGGGTTCTATTGAAGGTTGCCTAATTCCCTCATCTCTAAAAAAAGGTGTCATGCCTTCTACTTGCTCTTCCTTATAATGTTATTATATGGCTTAGAGCACTTGGTACATAGTAAACACTAAATGTTAATTCCTTGCAACTGAAGTGTGGTCCACAGACCAGCAGTTTTGGTGTCACATGTGAGTTTGTTCGAGATGCAAATTATTGGGCTACTGATTAAAAATTGCATTTAAACAAGATTTCCAGGTAATGAGTACATACATTAAAGTTTCATAAGCACTGTATTATACATTATGATAATAAGCATTAGTTATGATTCCTATATCTATTTTGCTAAAAATATTTAAATGTGCTTTGACATATGAAGCATAAAAAATGTGAAGGATAACAAGGGTGACGGTGAAGATGATGATGAATGGAAGAAAAATAACATATATATCAGATTAGCCCTTAATGGATATGATGAGTATTTCTTTTCTGCCATGATCTATAAGATACAAAAGAACTTTCTGGCTTTATAAAAAAAGGGATAGTCACAAAGCGCTCCCTATGTCATGTCATCATGAGTAAGACCCACACAGAAATCTGCGAGTTTAAATGT